CACAAGGCTGCAGGTTCCATCCCTGGACAGGACACATATAGGACACAACAAATGAAAGGAACAATAAATCAATGTTTCTCTCTCTCTCTTTCTCTCTCTCTCTCTCAAATCGATCAATAAATAAAAATGAAAACACACACACACACACACACACACACACACATTAATCCTCACCAGAGCCCAGGCATCTAGCAGAATAAACAGAGATGCTGCACACCCAGCCTGCAGCCTTTGGGTAAACATCACTGAGTCCTTGGAAGCCACAGCTCCTCTCAGTGTATTGTACTCACTACGACCTAAATCCTCATCAGGTAAACTCACCTCTCTGTCCACCTTGGGACAAATCAGAAAATGTCTAGACTCCTGAGGCCTTAGGGATCCCGTAACATGGGCATAGATACAACGAACCTTAAATACACGTTCCTAACACTTGACAGGGTAGAAAATTGAGGTCCTGGGAGGTGAAGAGGTTTGCTCAGGGGCATCAAATGTGTTACACTGATTTGGTGACTCCTGTTTTCTTGGCCAGGGATCTCTCTACAAGAGCCCCTGCTCTCCTCGTGAAAACAGGATTCTAGAACAAGCAGAAGGGGGGGGAGGTGGGGAGGAAGACAAAATTGCAAATGGAGGCTGGTCTTTCCCAAGCCCCGCCTCTGGTAAGACAACCGGTTCCCTTTCTGTCACTCACATGAATCTAAGAGGATAAGAGAATGGTCCAACACTCACAGCCCCTATATTAGAAGAGTACCGAGTGGAAGGGAAGATAAGAGGGTATTTGATGGTGCCAAGGGAGGGTCTGGTCTCCAAAGAGCTAAGGTTTAAGGTCTTTCTCCCTCTGAGCTCTGTACCTCAACCAGCTGGCACTTGCTAACAAATAAAAATGTGACTTAATAATTAAAGACTATGATTTCCATTAAAGAACCTTAGACTGCATTTGTCCCCCATACCTTCTGTTTCCCAGACAACCCTTTCAGAGCAGTTTGCTTGGACCCCACTTTCAGGCACCCCATAACATGTATCTAAAACAAAGTCTCTTCTATCTCCATCACTGGGCCGAGGAGAGCTATGAAACTCCCTCCAAATGGGACCAAGATTATATTCAATAAAAGAATAATTTGGTCACCACCAATGGTCAAGACCCCAAACGTCTGTGTAATAGAACATTATTACGACTATTTATAACAGAACAAACTGAAAGCAGGTACAATCAGTGCTCCTCTTAAGCATTAAAGAAAATCTTGGTGAAGCATCCATAGAATACTTGACCTTGAATTTCATGCTTTAATGGGGTATCCTCCAAGATCAAGAAACTGTTCATCAAAACTCAAGTTACCAAATAAATAAACTCCCTCCACAGGACTATCACCTAGAAGCTACTTAAAGAATAGCTTGGCTTTTAGAATAGTTGATCCAAAATCACTTGGAGGACAGTGATTAGATTAAAAAACACACCAAAAAACCACCATTGTCTACTAAGGCCATTCCTAGGTTCCAGCACTGAAACGTGTCAGAACCTATAAGCCCGCACCCCAGCCCAGGCCCCTCCTCCGGGCTCTGTGTATGGAGAGTTCTCTCTGGGAGAGAGTTCTTCCCAGCCTTCTATCCTGCCTGAGGTGGGGCACAACCTTCGCTTCCACCCAGGCCTTGAACATGATGCTTCTGATGCCACATGCTTCCTAAGCCTGCCCTTGACAGGACTCAGACATCAGTCCTCCTCGTCTCCCCTCCAGCCCCACCAACCGCAGTGCCCAGTCCTGAGCCTTGGGCTTCTCCCTGGCCAGGAGGGCTGGTTGTCTGGAATATTTCTCTGTCCTCTACAATGGGGTTACATACCTAGCTTCTCCGGAATGAGAGCAAATCAGTCCAGGAGCCCCAACACTACAGGTGTGTGTCAAACCCTATCACAGTTTTACCCCTGGGAAACTGCTCTCTGACTCACCAAAGGGTCATGCCTGGGGCAGAGGCTTAAGGTGCAGCTTCTGTATTAATGCCAATAACCTGCAGTCAATCCTAAGCTTGTGCAGCCCATATCAGTCCCTACAATCAAAAGCCAAGATATGTCACTAAAGCTGCAGAAATCCTATATTATTCTTGACTAATATTGTCAATAGTGATAGCAAGTAAAACAATGTACTCCCCAAAGTGCACCTGCTTCTATGCAGTTTGTTGGACAGAGAAACCCTTCAATGAAGAAGAAAATGGGTTAATAGCCAACATGGGATATTAATAAGGCTCAAAGCTAGAAAGTGCCAAGGCAGGACCAGAACCCAAGACTTCTGACTGGATCATGGAAAGGACCACTTGAGGACCTCAGCCTTCAGTCTGAAAAGGCCCAGAAGATGGCCCTTGGGAGCCTGGTCACACGGAGGCCAAAGCAGGGTGATGCATTAGTCAAGCAGAACCAATAACGACCATCTCCACCTGATGACCATGGCTAATCTCCACTGCTCTCAGACATTACTCCAGGCCCCATGCGAAGCCCTTTGCAATGCTGACCCATGCAATCCTCACAACAACCTTCTGAGAAATATTCTTCTTCGCCCATCTGTAACATAGGAAGGATAATGAAGCCTAAGTTACTAGAGATTAAATTTGACCAGAGGAGAAGTGTTCTAAGTCCTCGGTACCAGTGTATGTGGTATTATTTATTGCCTCCACCTACCTGTCATCGGGCACTGAATGTTTCCATCCTGTCCATCCCTTCTGATCACTCATTGCTCCTAGAAGGTGTTTGACCATCGAGCCCCCTTCCATTAGTGTATCTCAGCTGATCAGATCTTCTCCTGGGAGCAGGAGCACCAGGGCAGTTCAGCAGCCCTTAATCAGGAAGGAGAAATGAGGTTAAATGGGAGACAAATAAGAGAGGGTAAAGAGAAAAACAGTGTTTCCCACTTTGCAATTTAGTCAGGCATCAGCCTTCCCTGGGGCTCAACCCTGAGACCCTGGGGCAGCAATGTGCAGGCAGAGACTGGACAAGCCAAGGTCTCGAAGCTTTGAGACTCGAAACATTCACTTCCTGTCCTCAGACCCCTAATTCTTGCTCTTAATACCCCAATGTGGTTTTTCTGAGGGTTTCCTTTGGGCCACACAAGATGTGAAAATCTCTCTCCCCCACTCATCCCACACATCCTCAGCACCTCCTGGCAGGCCCCAGCCACAGCAAAGCCAATTCTCATCTTCACACACCACATGTTCACACATCACACACTCACACTACATAGCACACATTCACGTATCCTACAACACAATATACACACTCAGCCACACGTCACATATTCACACATCACACACACACACACACACACACACAAACACACACACACATCATTATGCCACACATCATACATTCACACACTAACATCACACATAACATTCCCACTGCACACCTCACACTGTCACACACTTACACATTACAGCTGTATGTTACTCAACTCTCACACATTACACACTACACATTCATGCTCACACACACTCACGCCCACAATCACACCTATGACACATTCCTTCATTTGTTCTCTCTCTCCAAGGCAGTCCCAGACAAGGAACCCATAGCTGCCCAGCTATGTGGCAGAGCCCTCGAAGTCAGGAAGGATGGAAGCTAAGGGGACCTGTGGCCTCTGGCCTTCACTCACTCTAATCAGAGGCCTGAGGCTGCCCACTGACACGTTGGCCGAGTGTGTTTGCAGGAAGTCACGAGTATAGCTGCTCTGGGCCGGTGGAGACACGATAGGGTGGGCAGGGCAGGTTGCCCGCCCCCACACACACTTCCTCTGCACCTGCTCTGAGCCTCACTCTCAATTTCCACTGCGGACATCATTGTTTTGTGTTTTGGAGAGCTTGTGATAAATCTGGTGTGTAGGGGCCAGGGGGAGGGGTGTGCACAGGACCACTGAGGAGCCTGGAGGCCGTGAGCCACATCCACCAAGAAGGATGTGGGAAGAAGCCTCAGTCCCCTGTGGGCACCAGAGGCAGCAGCACCCAGAGGTGTGGCCCTGGGAACCGACCTGGGATGTAACATCCAGGAATAAAGTTTTGGATACGTGATACGTGACAGCCCCACACATCGCATGCTCAAGGGCTCTTAAAGCACTTTCATGGGTTTGGTTCCTGCTGGGTCTCATGAAAGCTTGTGAGGTAGGCAGGGCAGGGACCATCCCTATTTTATCAATGACAAAACTGAGGCTCAAAGCTAGAAAGTGCCAAGGCAGGACCAGAACCCAGGACTTCTAACTGGAACCCATGATACCTCGTGGCTGATCACCTCAGTGTCTCTACCTTCAGTTCCTGGGCTGTGGCCTTGGACACGAGGTACTGAAGGTATAGCTGTACCAAGCTGCTGTGACTTTAGGCAGAGTTCTGTGTGACCTGTCACATCCTTTCCTGTCATCACCCTTGAGGTCATTGGACAGTTACCTGGGCTCCTGCCAGAGCCAGCCCCTTAGGGAGATATAGGAGATATGAAGGGTGGCTGATGTGAGGTTAAGACCCCAGGAACAATGTTTTGTTGGAGGGAATGCCAGGGATCATCTATTCCCACCTTCATTTCGAGATAAAGAAATCGAGGTTCAAAACCCATAGTATTCCCATATAGCAGATGCTCAAATAATTGTCAAATAAGTTCAAGGGCTACAACCAGCACCTCTGACTCAGGCACAAGCCTCTGTCCACACAGCCTCCCTCAGACCAAGAAAAGTGGTGACGAGGCTCTTATATCCTGAAGACAAGAAAAAAGCAGAAGGACTCTGGCTAAGACATCAATGAATACACATAAGGCATGGGAGGCCCCTCCAAGAGAAAGTGCCCAAGACAAAGAAATATCATGCCTGGTAGTTTCTGGTGGTCTTTAGGATCTGCGTAGAAGCACTTTGAACCCTGGTGACCCAATCTCGTGCAACACATGTTTTCTCAACTCCTGACTTCCGTTGTGGTTTGCTGATGTTTTCTTTTTTGGTCTAAGACTAGCAAGCAGATAAGAGGGGCAGTCATTTCCTCATTTTCAAGTCTTCATCCTTGGACCAGAAATCTCTTTCAAACCCCAGATTGTGACAGTTCCTGGGTGAGCAGTGGATCTTTGTCCCCCTCTCCTGACGCTCTTGAATGGGACCTTGTCCTGGAAGGAGCCATGGATCTCTGGCTTCGGTTAATTTACTTCCTGCCCACAGGTAAGTGCTGTGGGGAAAGAGCTTACATGTCTGATGAGGTTTAAATTGGCCATGGGTAGAGAAGTGGCTGGTGTCTCCAGCTCTGATGTTTCTAGACAGAATGAGGTGCAGACATGGACGGAGGCCAGATGAGACATTGGAGAACCTCCCAACTCCCTGCTAGCACCCCTCCCTCCACTCCAGACACATCTCCTGTTGGGTTCACAAGGGCTGAAAGTGTCACTTTATCCAGATGTAGAGCCTATTAATTTGGAATCTTATATTTCAAGTGCCACCAAAGTTCTTTCTTCTTACCGCTACACTCTTTTTCTTTGGATCTCCTTCACTCCTGATTTTCAACTTTCAACTCTAAATGAAGACTCGCTAATCCATTCAGTAGACCTAGTCCGTTTCCCAAACTCGGTATCTCAGTTTACAGCTGTTTCATTGGTCACCATCCAAACCAGCTAATCTCTCCAAACTATCACTGATATGAGCTGCAAAATGTTAGCATGGCTCTTCACAACCTCTTTCCATTTGTCCCCAGCCAAACTTCGATACAATCAACGGCCAACTCATGTGCTTTCTAGATTTCCATGTACCAGGATAAGAAGCAATGGCAGCCTCTACTGGAGACGGAACAGGGGGGAAGGAATGGAAAAGAAAAGAACACAGTCATCTTGTACCTATTTTTCCCTCTTCCTGCAATTTGACCTACCTATAGTTCCAGATTAATTTTCCTAAAAGCTTGACTCCAATCGTTGGATTGCCCTCCCACTGCCTACTCAATTATATACCTCTCCCTTGTGCTTCTCTGTATTTCTGAGCTTATACATTCCCCAGCACTTCCCTAACCTCCAGCTAAACAGGACTTCTTGAGCATGTGCTAGACTTACTGCCACCAGCCCTTGATCATCCCATTTCTTCTGCCTGGAACATTCTTCTGCTCACCTCTACCTTCTATGGGTCCTTCAACCATTGCCTCCTTCCTATACACTTTCCAGAACCTTCTCTTTTAAACCCAATAGCTGATCCCATTCTGCCTTGTATTGTGGTTTGGGGTGTTGCCCACCTCATTTTGTTGATTAAATGGTAATCTCCTTGAGGGTCTAAATGGATTTTTTATTCATACTTGCTTTCTTTCTGATGTCTTGAGTATGGAAGAAAGTCAAATGTTTGTCAAGTTGAAGATCAAAAACCCCTAAAAAGCCCAAGGGAACAGAGTTTTAATGAAGCGTCAGACTGGGTGAGAGGTAGTGGAACAAAAGTGAGCACAATGTGAGTAAAATTAAACTCAGACCCCAGGGGGAAGAGGGGTTGGGTGGGAAAGGAAGGTCTCCAGGTGTGAAGGGTACCTAAATTGTACCACGGCCACCTGTTCTAAGCAATACCATCATTCTCTGGGCCAGAAGAGTCCAGGCTCTGGGCCTGGTTCTTCTAAATTTGTGCCCATACCCACAGGGTGAGGAATCCACAAGCCCAATGGGATGTGCCCACACCAAGCTCACTCCTAACCCCCTCTTCTAGACCTTGAGTTCTTTGTCCAAATGTCTGCAGGCACACTTTCAATGACTGTGTGCACTTCCATCTCAAGGTCTTCTAACCTTTGGCCTATGAAAGGGTGGCACAGGAGTCTGCCTGGAATGGAGATAGACGGAGCTTATTATACCTGCAAACTGGGGAATTCGTCATGTATATACCAGCACCCTTGTGGTGGCAGGAGCCAGGGATGAGAGAAGCAGGGAGATAAGCAAGAGGCTGGGACAGGGACATGGGGCCTTTCTTTACCTTATAGCCATGTTTTAGAGTGAACATCCAAGGAATGTGTGAATTGTAAAGAGAAGGGGATAGAACAAACTTTATTTAACAGTTTATTAGCTTTATTTATACCTTTAAAATATTTAGACATATAATTTATGGGCCTTTATTTGCATTCATGCCCCAGGTCCTGGTCCCCAGAGCCCAATGCATGAGGCCCAAGCTACAGGCCACACTGCCTGAAGCCTTAAGTGGTTTTGCCTAATAAAGTAAGGCAGTATCACAAGGTGTAGAGTTTCAAGCCATTTTTACCAATAATAATAATAATAATAATAATAATAATACATGCATACACTAGATGTTATGATCCAACACACACACACACACACACACACACACACACACACACATGACACCCCTACAATTTGTTCATGATTCTTTCATATGGGGATGAGTTTTGGGCTTCAGCAGTTGGATGAATGTTGGTGCTCTTTACTGAGATGGGAAGAGCTTGTAAAGAAATCAGTTTTGTTTTGTTCTTTACTGTTGTTTTGTTTTTCATTAAATTTATTGGGGGATGGTTAATAGGATCATATAGGTTTCAAGTGTGCATTTCTATGATACATGATCTGTATATTGCACTGTGTGCCCACCACCCAAAGTTAAATCATCTTCCTTCACCAGATATTGAGCCCCCTTTCCCCACTCACCACTCTCCCACCCCCTTCCCACTGGTATCCACCATAATTTTGTCTGTTTATACGAATTTTAGTTCTATATTCCACATATGAGTGAAATCACATTGTTTTTAGCTTTTTCTGACTGACTTATTTCACTTAGTATTTTCAAGGTCCACCCACGTTGTCATAGATGGCAGTATTTCATCTTTTCTGATGGCTGAGTAGTATCCATTGTATTTATGTACCACATCTTCTTTATCCAGTCCTCTATCAAAGGACACTTTGGTTGCCTCCATGTCTTGGCTGTGGTGAATAATGCTGCAATGAATATAGGGGCACATGTATTTTTGTGAATAAAGGTTATCAAATTTGGGGGGGTAGATACCCAGAAAAGGGGTTGCTGGGTCATATGGTAGCTCTATTCTTAATTTCTTAAGGAATGGCCATTCTGTTTTCCATAGTGGCTGTACCATTCTACATTCCCACCAGCAGTGAAAAAGGTCCCCTTTTCTCAGCTTCCCCAACCCTGTTTTTACTTGTCTTGTTGGTAACAGGTGTGAGGTGGCAGCTCATTGTAGTTTTGATTTGCATTTCCCTAATAGCTAGTCAAGTTGAACATCTTTTCATGTATCTGTTGGCCTTTTGTATGTCTTCTTGAGAGAGTTGTCTGTTCAGATCCTCTGCCCATTTTTTAAATGAATTGTTTGTTTGGTGCTGAGTTGTATGAGTTCTTTATATATTTTGAAAATTAACCACTTGTCGAGCTATTGTTTGCTAATATCTCCCATTTGGATCTCCCTTTTGTTCTGTTGTTGGTTTCTTTTGCTACGCAGAAGCTTTTTAGTTTGATATAGTTCCATTCATTTCTTTTTGTCTTTACTTCCCACATGTAAAAGAGTGAAACTAAATTACAGTTTATCCCCATCTAAAAAAATTAATTCAAAATGGACCAAAGACCTACATATAAGATCTGAAACAATAAATTACATAGGAAACATAGGTACTAAACTTATAGACCTTGGTTGTAGAAAACATTTTATAAATTTGACCCAAAAGGCAAGGGTAGAAATGGGTTTTGGAAAAGAAATTGAGTCATTTTTTTTGGGCCATTGTTTATTTGAAACACATAGGAGATATTCACATGGAACCCAAATGTAAACATTGGGAAGGCAATTCTAGAGCCCAGAGGTAAAGAAAAGACTGGAGATATATGTTTGGGTGAACTCTGTATAGAGCTGGCATGAAAAGCCACAGGAATAAATAAGCTAGTGGGGGGGGGGGGGGGGGGGGGGGGAAAAAAAAACAGAGAAATGAACACACCCAAGTATGAGGCCCTGGAGTGGCCCAACACTGGGAGGTGAATAGAGAAGAAGTAAGTAAGGAGATTGGAAAAGAATAGCTAGCTATTGAGAGTGTGGTGTCAGGGAAGACAAGAGAAGAAAGTGTTTCAAGGGCTCAATTTCATCAAATGCTGCCAGGAGGGTGAATAAAAGGAAGACAAAGAAGCGGCCATTAAACATGGCAATAGGAAGACGCTGGGTGGCCTTGATTAGAGCACTTTCAGCGGAGTGTTGGAGACAAAATTCTGACAGGTGTAGGTAGAAGAGGAACTGGGAGGCGTGGAAGTGGATTCAGTGAGTTTGATGGTTCATTTGAGAAAGAGAACAGAGACGGGTGGCAGCTGAAGGGGAGGCAAAAGTCACCCGGGGGGTTTTCAACACGGCACAATGGAGCGTGTGTGGAAGCCACGGCGATGTGGGAAGAGGAGAGCGCAAGAGGCAGGGAGAGAAAAGGATAATTGCAGGAGAGAGGTTCTGGGGAAGGTGAGCAGGATGGGTTTCAGGGTACAGATGAAGGCACTAGTGTTTGATAGGAAGGGGGACACTCAATTCACTGTGAAGGCACGAAGGGCAGGCTGCAGGCCTGGACACACATAGGTTAGTGTACGCGGAAATGAAAAGTTGATTTGGATGTTTCTCATCCTTTTAACAAAGCCACGCTCTATCTTATAAACGTAAATGTCTCAGGCAAGCTTCCTTCTTTCAGAGATTCTGCTATGACTTGAGTTATAAGGTCCTCATTACCACCCCTTCTCCCTGAAAATCATCGCTTTGTGGAATCCAGAATCTATCTCCTGAGCTCCGTCACCAGCCAAGGGCATGTGACCCCTAACCTTATTCTGCATTATGAAAATTATATTATTTTCATGTTCCAAACATCCATTTATATCTAATTATATAATTAGTAACTTTTGAAATCCCCCCCTACAGCGCCACTATAAATCAAGTTGCCAAATTATAGATTAATGTCACTTACTTAGTTTAGTAGCTAAAATGCCATTAAACAGCATGGCTCCTTTATATAGCTTCTCTCGCCCCTCCCTTTATCCCAAGAATCATTTGGAAATATAGTTATAGCCCAGAATTACAAAACTCTAAAGATAGCTGGGATGCTTATTTGCCATGCAGGTGCCTAGACCCAACCTGGATCGAGGTTGTCTGCAAGTTCTCTCCACATGAATCGTAGCACACTGTGCATAAGTTCCAAACCAGGAAGTTACTAGTACATCTATCTTTCTTCTGTTGGGGAAATCTGCTTTTCTAAGCCTTGGATGACAGTTAGAAGCTACTCTGAACTCCAAGGAGAGCTGGGGTCTGGTCACTGTCATCTTGCTAACTGGTCTGTCTCTTCGTGGGATCTTTGACACTGTGCTATAGTGGCTGTCCATTTGTGTGGATTTGTTCATTTTAAGAAGAATATAGAGTTGCAGTCAAGAGATCAAGGTTCTTTTTTTTTATTGATTTTAGAGAGGAAGGGAGAGGGAGAGAGATAGAAACAACAATGGTGAGAAAGAATCATAGATCAGCCATCTCCTGCACGCCCCCTACTGGGGATGAAACCTACAACTCAAGTATGTGCCCTGACCAGGAATCAAACCGTGACCTCCTGGCTCATGGGTCAACACTCAACCACTGAGCCACACCAGCCAGGCAGTGGCTATCCATTTGCACCACCTACTGAATGAGTCTTTCTGTGAGGGGAGGAATATCAACTATCTTATTGTCCCTTGAAAGGCATTCAATTCATGCTTATTGAGTGATTTAACAACTAGAACTGGGTGGGGATGGTTGTTTCGGCTGAATGGATCTGAGCAAAGCAAAACTAGACAGACAAACCTGTTGCAGCAAAATGGTTCTATGCCTCCCAATACCACACTGAAGTCACCTGGGGGTTACGTGCTGTTTGTGATTTCCATGGAATATTCTCTCTCCTTGGAGTGCAGTATTTTTTTACTATATTCTTAGGGGATTGGTGTCCTCGTCGACATGGGTTTGGTGATGAGCTGAGGGTTATGCTCAGGCTTGGGCTGGGGAGAAGCGCGGCTGAGACAAGTTTGGACACAGAGATGAACATAGACTAGGAGTGAGGATGTGAAGAGGGGTGGGCCTGGGAACAGGTTGGGGATGAGGGTAGGGCTAGAGATGAGGATAGCACTGAAGCTGAGGGCTGGCTGAGGCCCGGGCTGATAAAGGGGATGGGCTGTTCAGGGGAAGAGCACGAGGCTGGACTGGGGCCTGGGCTGGAAAGAGGGCTGGAGGTGGGAGTATGGCTGGAGATGAGGCTTCCTGTCCACTAACTCCCTCTTCCTGCAGTATCTGGAGCCCTGGTGCTGCCGGAAGTCAAGCTGGAGGGAATGCTGGGCGGATCTATTACCATTGAGTGCCCGCTTCCTGAAACGTATACGAGAGTGTATCTGTGCCGCGAGATAGACAAATCTCAAGCGTGTTTCACCGTGGTGTCCAACAAGAGCTTTGTCAGGAAGGAATACAAGCACCGCGTCACCCTGAAGCTGAGTCCACACCAGAACCTGTTCCTAGTGGAGGTGACAAAGCTGACCCAGAGTGACAGCGGAGTCTATGCCTGTGGGACAGGCCTGCACACAGACCGGGGCAAGACCCAGAAAGTCACCCTGGATGTCCACAGTGGTAGGTGCCCGACCTGATGGAGGCTCCGCCCAGCCGGCAAACCTTTCCACTCAGGAAGGTTAGGACAGCATCGGACTATGGCAGTCCCCCAGGCTATGCTAGTGCCATAATAGTCAGTCCAATAATAACTTGGATTTGGATTGGTGGACCCCGTAGAGTCAATTAAATTCAGGGTCCACAGAATTGTCTATGCAAGCAAGGTTGGCGCTCTCCTTGTGTTGAATTGTACCCATCCTACCCGGGGCATGAGGGGAGGAGCAAGGGCTGAGATTGAGGAGAGGCTCTGAGAGTGGAGGAAATTGGGAGCAAAGAGACATAATTCTCCCATGAGAAATATCAGGGGTGAATATAAAGGAAAGACAGTCTTTCTCAAGCCACATTTTTAGGCCAAACGTGTTGCTTTAGGATCTGATCCTTTCCATATTTCTGCGAAGTCCTGTCTTTCTCCACCAACTCCCTCACACGCCAGCAGCACTAATTCAACAGCCTAGAAACCCAGAGGCCTCTGGGTTGATTGGGTTGGGGTGAGAAGGTTTCTTTTTCTGCTCCTCTTGGGGGACCCTGCCCTCATCCCCTCGCTGCCATCCATCCTGACCGAGTCAGCTTCAGCTCCTACCACTGCCCCTTCCCCAGGCTTCAGGCTCCTCCCAGAGCCCACCAGTGCATTCTTCATGCCTCCAGCAGAGTATGACCCATTCTGGGAAGAGGAGCCGTTTCCACCATGGTTTCAGAAAGTTCCACCCATGGAGATGCTCCCTTGGTTCCAGAAACCTGTACTTGCCAGCTCCCTCGAAGTCCTTCCCCAAGGTCAGTTCCCCAAAGCTGGGGTGGGAGGGGTGGTGGAGGTGATAGGGCTTGTGAGAAGGGAAGGAGGTTGTGTTCGTTCATAGAGTGATTGGCAGAGCATAGCGGAGTCTCCGATGTGTGTTTCCCTGACTCAGGAGAGGGTACCCCCTCCCCCCCCCCGACCCCCCCAGGTCTGTTTCTGTGTCCTTCAAGCCCAGAAATGCATTTTGACATGCAATATTGCCATCCCGTCTACCCTGTGGGGTAGATACATTAATTGAACATGGTGTCACTCGAGGACCCTGCTGGGCGCCAAGAGGGAGAGAGCAGCTGAGCTCATTATGTGCCCCTGGTTGTGACTGACAGGTGTGGGAGGCGGGAGACTAGACAAGCACATGGCAGAACTCAAAGCTTTCTCCATGCTCAGAGGAGGGGAGGCTGCCTGGTGAAAATGGCATTTGAAGCAAATGTGGGTAGAATTTACTGGGTGTGGACAGCACTAAGAATGCTAGGAAGGCATTCCAGGCCCCGAGGAGTGCAAGAACAAAGGTAGCCTAGGTCCGTGGTCGGCAAACTGCGGCCCCTTGAGTGTGGCTCTTCCACCAAATTTCCATGTGTGGGCGCGCATACAGTGTGATTAAAACTTCGTGGCCCATGCGCACAAGTCGGTTTTCGGCCTGGGCGAGTCTGCTTTGAAGAAGTACTGCTGATATTTGGCTCTGTTGACTAATGAGTTTGCTGACCACTGTCCTAGGGCAAGAGAAACAAAGGAAGCAATAAACAAATGAGACTACGTCAAATTAAAAAGCTTCTGCACAGCAAAAGAAACCATCATCAAAATGAAAAGGGAATCCACTGTAGGAAGAACTTATTTACCAATGATACTACTCATAAAGGGTTAATTTCCAACA